CGATACGCCACGTTGATTTATTCGCCGCGACTGGAACTTTTGTAAAGAAATCGCTAATTACGAGTATTAACAATTTCCGTTCGTTTCTCGCGAGATTCGTGAAATTAACGATAAGCTAAAAACAATTCTTCCCGGAAAACTTTTCCGCTTTAATTGATGATTGGCTCCTTCACAAAAACGGTAACGAACGGTTAAGAGCACGGTAATTAACCTAACGAGATCCTCCTCTGCAAAATGGCAGATTTAGAAGATTCCGCAGGATGATCGCAGATTCCGGGATGCCGGGAAGCGCCGTGATTCGCTTTTAATCCGGTCTGAAAACGTGCGAAAGTGAAGGCAGAGTGGACGGATGAGGTATAGAGTAAAAGCCGAAAGCGTGCGCGCGAGGTCGCACCGGTGGAAACACGTAGAAGCGTTTCGTATTAGATGGAAAAGGGCATTACTCGGTGGCGGAAAAGTATGTGGTTGGCGGGTGAGGACGCGTTGCTTTATTAAATATGGACGCTCACGACCCGTGCAGGTTACCCATCACGGGCTCCTCGCACGTATGCGTCTGCCTGTGCGCGTGTGTGCGTATATGTGTGCGCGCGCGCGCGCGCGCGCGCGAGCGAGAGTGGCGAGGGTGAAACGTGACAGAACGTATCCTTCCTTCCTTCCGAATCCCATAATTCGCACGGTGGAGAAATTTGTACGTCGCCCTCCCACGGTTTTATCGTGTTTCTTACACGGCCACTCATCTCCGTAAGTGCTCGACGCGGTGGTGGCGGCGACGGCACGAGGGATGACGGGGACGAGGACGTCCGGAACGGGTCGATGATAAAGGCTTGCCGTCTCCACCTCGTCCCTCTCCTCCTCCTGCTCTTTCCCCATGCCCATTTCCTTCGATTCTCGCCGAAGCCCCCCCCCCCCCCGCGATAGTTTCGAAAGAACCGCTCTCTCGCTCCGGGAGTAACCGCTCGAGTAACTACGGCGAAATCACTTTACAACGCGAAACTCTCCGTCGAACCTTAAAATTAAATTTGTCATAGCTGATTTTCGTTATATCCGAATTTACCGTCTATATTGTATTTACGGCGAACGGTGACCGGGAATTCAATCGAATCTCGCTGGCGGGAGGAATTTTATCCTTTCGATGTTTCTCAAACTTCCGACTACCGGTCGCGATACAGGGAGGCGTGCGAGCATTGCAGGCTCCTGACGAGGGAAAAACCTACGGTCGTATCGTTAAGCAGACGTTTCCCCAGAATCTTTTTGTATTCCTTCATTACGCGAATTGCCCCCCGGGCATTCCGAGAACGTGGGGGATGCTTGTTCTTTTGCGAATCTATCCTAAACAGTCGTTCAAGAATTCGAAAGCGGAGCGCACGGAACGCGCGTGCTGATTGCACGATGCGATCACGGCCCGCGAGCTGGGAAATGGAGCGCTGTAAATTGTGTGTGAACAGCAATTCGGCTCTAAAATGCCGGAAATGCAGTCGATTTATTTGTGAAAAATACTCGCGCATCGCTGCAGTCTTGACCTGCTTGCCAAACTAAGCACATCGCATCTCGGCGCACGGATATTCTTCGGCGGCCAAAATATAAAATTAGTACACCTCTGTATCGACCGACAGCAGTTTGAAGTATCTTTTTTTGTGACTTCTGTCATCTCGGAGTCTCTAATAAGTAGAATCTAAAATTTGTTTAATTTAACGCCTTTTACAAAGATCCACGAAACTTTTCCGTAAACTGTGACCTGTAAACTGTGAAGCCGTGATGAACTTTTCAAGTTCGATAGCGCGCGCGCGCGCGCGCGCGCGTGTGTGTGTGTGTGTGTGTGTGTCGAAATTAACTTTGTTCCTTACACTCGAAGCAAAAGTATCCCTCTGGGAAAAATACTCTTTTCGCCTTTGGTCGGTCGAAGTCTCTTGAATCAGTTTGCGAATTGAAATAAATGTGGAGAGATTACTTGTCTACTTTCTTCTCCGCTACTTTCCTTGTATTTCTTTCATTTTGTTATTATTTCTTCCTTTTATAAAACGCGAGAAGCAAAGAGCCAGATGCGTTAAGGACTACAAACGAGACGTCGTATCGATTCTCAATGCTGTCACTTCTTTGAACAGGATCGCACAAAAGGCGGAAAAATCAAAATGCTAAAGTGCTTCGATCGATCGAGGAATGCCTCCTCTAAGGGAAACTTACGATAAAATAAATAGCCCCGTTCCTCGTAAAAATCGAGAGGATGGGGAAGTATCGTATAATACAAAATATAAATCTCATAATACATTTATGTGTCTTAATAAATGCGCTTGAAATAACTTTAATTAAAATTATACGACGAATAGTCGTATGCAGATCGAATACGTAATGAAATTCCAGGTCAATTCTCGGCCGAGTCCGCGACTCGGCTTTGAAAGGGCGAAGCGATAAATTATATTTTATGGCTAGTCAAATATAATGAATAAAGATGTACGCCGTACACACAGGTTAATTTACTGCCGACGAGTGTTCCGAGTGTAGCTTTTCTATCTCGGTCTTTATATTTTTTATGGAAATAACCAGCCAAGTGTCATCGTGTCGCTAACGACGGTAATTATCGATCACTGGCTCGCGTTATCTCGCGTCGGGTATAAAGAATAAAGAGCGAGAGACATCGACCGAGGGCAAAAC